ATAAATAAATAAATAAATAAATAAATAAAACATTGTTTACAAAAATAAAATGAAAATGTACAGATGATAATGTAGCATGCCTCCATTGTAGATTTAACTATGTGCTCACTGGGCAACAAAATGTAATTCTGACTTAAGAGTTTCATCCTGGTTCATGAGGGTTCATGAAGCTGTTTGGTAAGGTGTTCAAAATACAGCTGGTTGGGTGCTATTGGACTGCAACTGTCAGCATTCCTGATGATTGCCTTGCTAGGCAGAGATGATGGGAGATGTAGCACAGCCACATCTAGAGGGCTGCACTTTGCCCCATCCTGCTGTATGGTGTGATCCAGATTCCACGCTATTGCTTTCCACTATCAAACCTCCCTTTGAATTCAGTGGTCCAGACTTCGTGTCTACATCTGCAGTGCAGAAGCTGCAGTTCAGTTAATTGAAAGCACACAGACTGGCCCTGAAGTCTCCAGCCTGAGCTCTCTGCATGTGATAGTTATTAAAGACTCGAGAAAAGCTGACCTCTTTTTTAAAAGACAGACTTTTGACAGTCACTTCTGTGTCCTTTTGGTCATTGGTAAACAATTCAGTGAAAGCTGTTTTCATCTGGCTGAGGGAAAAAACAAAGTTGCCGCTGCTACCTTAGTCAATAATTTGCCTGAGCAAATAAACTGTAACTGTCCATTTGAATCATAACTCTATCCACAATGATAATCTACTTAGTAAATAAGGCTGTTTATCAAAGGCTCTAATAGTGATGTCACTGTTGTATATAAGACTTGGATTTTGGTTTACAACTATCACAGCTCCCCAAAATCTAGTGCCTTCCAGCTGTGCTCAGTTGCAACCCGGTATCTACTGGCACGGCTGCCTGGAGGAAGCTGGGAACTGTGGTCCCAAAAAGGGGAATTTGTCCCTCTGTGAAAACAGCAGCATTCATTCCATGGAAAGAATTGGGGAAATGATTCTAACACACCTCGTTCTTCTGCTAAATGTTGCAGAAGGTCGTGTGGCATGAAAGAGGCTGTGATACTGGAGTCAAATGCACATTTTCCTAGAAGTAAACACCACTGGACCCCCCTTGGGAGGCATTTTCCAATAAATATGCATAAAAGTGCCTTCAGGGGACCTGGAAGGTTGCAGACTTTGGAGATGTTTAAATATTGCAAAGAGAGCAAACCTCATTGGTTTCATGGGTCTACTCTAAGTGCAGTTGGATTGGATCCAGCTTATTGTGTACATCCTGAGAACAAAACAAAGTGTAGTTTTGAAGTTTTTTTCCCTCGCTGCTGCTGGTGCTTTATTATTTTTTAAACAGCGTAGAAAATGCTCAACCTCCCCTCCCCTCCCTTGGACCAAATTACATTAGTGGGGAGAAGAAAATGAATATGGACTTATTGGCCATGGTAACATAAGAAAGCTATGCGGTGCCAGAAGAAACCACATTAAAGGATGTGTGTGTGCGTGCGTTTGGGGCTTGCAGTTTCTTGCAGTGGAGAGCGGAGTTACGATTTGTGAGTGGAACATGATGAAATCTCCCCCTGGACAAATCGCATTCAGGCTGTCATGCTCACCAGGTGGGATTAGTTGTAGCTCATAGCCTGAGCAAGCAGAGAGCCCTGTGTGCTCAGTTTAAAGCAAAAGCGAAGCCACTGCGGAGGCTTTTCAAGAATCCTCCTCCCTGAGTATGGCTGAGAGAAACTGTGTCCAGTTACCCCAGGTAGGAGCGGGGTTTTCTTTTAAGGAGGAGCAACCGATGTCTCTTGAGGAGGGGTGGCGGGGGAAAAGAAATCTCGCCTCCTCTCTTTTTTTGGGAAATCGGCAAATCCAACGGTTTTATTGATCAAGTCCCTTCGGAAGCTGCAAATCTGAATCGGCTGGCTTCTGTAGGAAGAAGAGCAGATCGGCTGAAAGGCACGCCAGGACAGCCGATCTGTTGGGCTTTAATCACAAACGTTCCCTGTACTTTTAAACAAGATCGTTCCCTTTAACGTGTTGACTTCTGCAGTTGTGTCTCTCCTTCCTCCTAGGTGTTATCCTTGTTCACTTTTGCTGTCGGTGTAAATGTCTGCGGTGGATTTGTAGCCGAGCGATTTAAGCAAACTACCGAAGTGGTGATGGACGAGGCTCAATTCCCAGGTAGAATAATGTGACATAAATTGCCTGCTTTGTTACACCTTGATTGGGGGGGCGGGGGAGAGGGTGCAAATGATTTTGAAATGTAGAGTTACTGTTCTTTTCTCTTCTGGAATATATCAAAGGTTATGTGAAAAAGCTTTGGTTTGTTGACCTTCAAGGCTTGCTTATAGGTAACCTATTCACTTCTCTCTGGGTGAGGAAAATTTAGACAAGCATATTCAATTTATGCTCAGCCTCTGAGTTAATTTTAGGCTTTTAGTGTCTGTGCATGTCTGTACCTTGAACAGTCTTATTTTGTCATTTTCAACAAATCTTTAGTGAGTTAACACTGATTAAAGAAAGTTAATCAGGCTACTTTTTAAGCCCACTGAACCTCCCTCTGAGATACCATGTGGGTAGTTCTAGTTTGATTAGATTAGTTTGGGTTTACTGATGGAAAGAGATTTCACATTGTCTCTTTTGACTTCTCATTAGTAGGCAGTGAACAAGGAGCAGGGAAATGGAGGGGGCGGAGAAGAGGGGAAGTAGAAAGCAGGTGTTTAGCTTTGGAAGTTGCGTGCAGCAGATGTTCTGTAGATTTTTCTTTAATGTTGCATCCCTTTCAACTACAAGAAGAAAAAAGAAAGAAAAACCATGCCAGGACATCTCTTTCTCCCCGTTTCTTTCCACATTTCATCAGACAACTCAAACATACAATATATCAAGCGTGAAAAGGGCGGGTTGGCTATATACTTCTTGCCGCAACATATAATTTATCTATGAAATTTATATCTGCTGTATGATATCATGACAACTAAAGCTTAAATGGCTTTTTAAAACAACCATGAAACATTGGGGGTTTTTGACAATTATTAACCATGAAACCATGAATACAATTTGTCGGAAGAACCAATGCCGGGATGGCTGGTTCCAAAGACATGGTCTGGGTCAGAGTGTTGTTGTACCTGGCTTGGCTTCCTATTATCATCAGTCTTCAGTGTCTGGACAGATGCCTCTAAGGAGCCCAGCCTCTTGTTTGACAATTGACATTGGTAATTTAGAAGTAAATTGCATCTAAACATGGAAGGTTATGCCCTGCTTGAGAGCTTCTCAGGGACATTTGGCTGGTTGTTGTTGGGAACATTTCCGCCCTGGTCTGATTAGGAAAAAAACATCTAGTCTCAAATTTCTGTTCTTACCAGTCAGCAATTCTAATGTTTTTGAAGCACTGTTCTTCCATGCCCTTGACTCATACTGCAGTGTCTTCCTCTGACACACTAAGAGAGGACTGAGTTTGCTTAACAGAGCTTTCCCAACCCTGGGACACTCTAGATGCACTCATTTACAATGCACATCACCTTCCAGTTAGTTCTGCTATTGGTGACGCTGACCATGGTTTGTAGGAGGATATTCATGTATGATTTTAAACTCTTCTCTTTTCACTTAAAAGTTTCAAGCAATTTGCTCCTATGGTGGGATTATAATTAGAACATGACTGTTCCATTAATAATAATAATAAATTTATCTTCATTCAGGACAGCATCTGACTTATTACTAGTTTGATGAAAATGGCTTCTCAGTTCTAATGCCAAGACTTCTTTATATTCACTTGTGGACATTTCCAGCGGACCCCAAAATATGGCTGATTTACAGATTTGATAATCTCACCCTAATTGGGTGAGATTCATAAACTGCCTATGTATATAAACATGCTTGTGGCAGCTAAATTAAGATCAGATAATATCTTTATTGGGACATGAAAACACAGGTAAACTTTTTGAGTGCAAGCAGAAAGAAACAGAAATGGAAACTGTGTCCTTAAAGAATCACCTTGAGGTTTGTTGGCATCAGGATTCACCTTGGACATGTAGAATCAGTTATCTTAGCCTTTAGTCTCCATCAACATTTTTTAAAATGTGCTATCAAGTCAACCCCAACTTACAGCAACCATTCCCAGGGGCTTTTAGGTACAAAGTAGACTGAAAGGGTTTGCTGCTGCTCCTCCCAGTGATGCAGTGGTACTGTGCAGCTTGCCCAAGGCTACACAGTCTGGCTTTTCTCCTGAAAGCAACAGTGGGGAGTCTAGCTCCTGACACAATGCACTGCACTTTTTATCACCCTCTAGCCAGGATGATTTGGGGACTTTTCAGTTTCTGCTCCTGCCCTCCAAACTCTGCAATGTCCAGCCCAATGAAGGATTCTAGAAGAATCAAATCTCCCCTGCATTATTTTAGTGTTCCAATAAAGATAGTATCCAATCATGATTTTAGATTTTGTTCATGAATCACAAGGTTTTATTTCTTTTTTTTTCTATTTGTTTCTTTTTCCTTTATGTTGTGGCATATCTTATGTCATGTTATGTCTTATGGTTTTTTAATAGCATACAAAGCCTGTTTAGAGTTGGGAAAAGAAACTGCAGCCAAGTTATTGGCTGTATTGTGATGACCACAAGCAGAATGTATGTGTATCTCAGTGTGTATGTGTTTGTGCTTTCTTTGCCAGTGTTGTTTCTAAAGTATCACACTAATGGAAACAGGATGTTCAAAATGTGAGATCAGAAAGCCTTGTGTTCCACTGTCATAAATGGCAGTGCTGAACGATGGTCTGTGAAAAGACGGGTGTGCTGTTATGCTGGATAGCTTACATTTAACTGGTAACAAATGCTCGGATCAAAGGCTCCTGCTTTAGACTTTGATAAGCACACATGATATCTATTACTAGTAATGGAAGCTGCAGATGAGGCAGAGCCTCTGAGAAATGGCAAGATGGGACATTTGTGGAAGCGGCCTCTTACACCTCTGCAGAATTGGCTGGTGCATATAAGTACTTAACATCTCCTTTTGAATAAATTCTACTGGCCAGCCCAGCTGCTTGCCAAACTAGCATGGAAGATGTTTTCTCCATCTGTAGCTGGAGATCACTTGCATTGTCTTTGCAGGTGCTGGATATCGTTCTTAATAAGTTCCAGACATATGTCTTGAGTTATTAAAATGGCCCAGCTGCCACTAGGAGTTGAAAGCTTTAAAAAAATTTTTTTTTTCCACACTGATTTTTAAATGCAAACAACCTTTTAGGGCCTGTTTTTTAAAAAATATTTGGGTTAGGACTTGGAACAATTACTGTTAGGGACTGGGAGTTGGACTCTGCCTTATGGCAACTTATATGATGCATGTCCATCTAGAAATTTTGAATTGTGCTAGCTGCTACCTTTGAGAAATGGAGGAAAATCACTCTTTGATCTGGAAAAGTTGCAGAAAGTAACATGAATGTGTTGGCTTTTCCTTTAATTTCCATATAGGCATTTTATTAGGCATTCTTGAAAGCTGTACTTCACAGTCAGTAGACAGGTGTGTGTTTCTTAATTGTTATTACCTTCAAACCTATTCTTAAATGTTGGCAAGGTTTAAATTAGCAGAATGAATTTGGATTTCAGTTTCTTCAGTGTACATTGGAACAAAACAGTAATCTCTTGTGCTTTAAAGTGTGCAGCTTATGGTGGCACTGCCTTATGATCATTATTCAAATTAAGATGGTGTTGCTTTGCAGTATCATACATTGTGACCTTGTCTATAATTAACTGCATTTCTGTAGAATTCTTTAAATAGAAAACTGCTGTCCATTCTTCTGAAAAACCACAGACCTAGATTTGCCCTTGCATTTTCCTCTGTAGTGTTATAGAACACCATATTAGTCAGCATTGTTTCTGTTCTAGATCACTGTGGAGTCGGTAGCCGCCTTATGGTAAGCACAACAAATTGACACAGCACAACCAGTCTGTTGTGATCCATTCGATTGCCTCTGCCTCTATTGGTCTACTCAGAGCTTGGAAAAATTATTTTTTGGGACCCCAATGCCCCACAGCCAACATGGGTACTGTACTGATTATACTTACTGATGGGTTTGGGAGTTGTATTCTAAATAAGTAATGCTTCCATGCTCTTGGTCCAACTAGCCCAGTATTGTACACTTTGCCAGCAAGAGTCCTTGGTAGAGGTTTTACCCCATCCTCTTCTAAAGAAAGGGACCCCAGGGATTGGATTTGGAACATCTTTCAATATGTAAAGAACAGCCATGCTGTAATAGAGTGGGTATGTGAGATGCATGAGATGTGATGAGGGATAAAAAGACTGACTTAAGAGAAACCAAGAGAATAAACTTTATAGGAACTTCATGTACGGTAGGATAGTTAATTGGAATACTATGCTTTGTTTATTACATACTTGGAAGAGAGCCAGAAGAAGTCTGAGGAGGGAGGAAATAACATCAGTCCAGCTGCCATGACCCAGCTTCTAGATAACCTCACCTGGATGACTGAGAATCTTCACAGATACTCTGACATTACTTTTGACTTGGTTGAAAGCTTCACAGCTTTCACTACATGCTGGATGAGATCAAGGGCCTTTTTTGTTCAACACTGTGTTCACACAGTGGCCAGCAAGTTCTCAATGGGAAGCCTTCCGATAGGACCAGAGAGTAACTTCATCCCTTGACTTGCATTCCCCTTCAGCTGATATACACGGGTAGAGAACTCTGATACTGGAAGTGATGGCTCCTGAGTAAGCATACATGTTTGGCCACTGAGCTCGCTCCTTTCTTCGTAAAACCACAGAGTCATTATCATTAAAAGGATTGGTTCTTACTGTATGAAATCATTTGTACTATGATAGCTAACACTGAAAGGACTTGAGAGAGAACTGGAAAGTGCTTGTTTCTTCTCTTGATTTGTATGTGTGTTTGTGTTAGCATTTGGTAACACCACGCATGCAACTCACAGTAAACACCAGCTCATCAAAAGCAAATACCTTGAAATCTGTACTAAAAATGAAGAATTGGGTTCATACATTACAGAACCAGAGCTTGTTCAGTTCCATATATGCAACAAGGATGACATTATCAACAGTGCCAAATCACTGCTGATGCAATACATCCTTTGGTTGGGGGGGGGGGTTCATGTGGCTTTGTTGCATTATATACTAGTCACAAGCACACTGAAATTGGTTTTAATCAGTGACTACTGTTACTGCCATCATCCTGTTGTGCATGCAGACCTGTGTAACAGGATTTGAACCTTTGTGCTTAAGAAGTGTTTCACCTTAATGTTGTATAAATCCTTCTCTGTTAGGCCTAGTGAACATCTTACTTGTAAGGCTGCCACTACAAATTCACACCATATCCCACTGGCAGTATGCAACAAAATCTGAGGGAGTGTCCAAGCAGAGCATTTGCTCCTATGAAAGTATCTGACACAGTGTGGGTGCTTTTGGCTATCTTCCCAGTATCCAGAAGACATAAAGCCAGTCACATGAGGTTCAGTGCCTTTTTTCCGTGTCTTCTCCTATTGTTCTCATGTGTTGATAACATGGTTTATTTGGGTCCAGGCTTTGCGTTGGGGATGGCATTTAGTGCTATGATACTTGCAACAGGCAGTTCCATATCAGGGGCATCTGGTCAGAAACATTCGATAGTCTCCTTTCATGGGCTTAAACATTGCACTCAGCAAAGATACATTTGGGAAGTGGGTTTATAAGAAACCCCCCTCCCAAATCAGGAATATTTCCTTAGAGGCAATGGGTTTTAAGGGTGTGGCTTGTTTCTTTAGGGTCAAACTAGGCAACAAAGACAGCATGTCAGTAAAAGTCAGAAGTCTTTGAACTCTTCAAGTGTTAAAAACCATCTGTTTGTTATAATATGAACCCCCCCTGTAGCTTTTCATTTTGTTTTGTCATTGGACAGCTGTTTACAAGTCTAATTGCTCAGGCATGAAGTTCCATTTGACAGAGTATAACTGTGCTTTGAGCTTTTAATCTGTGTTGTCTAGTTTGATTGAGTTTGTGTACATTTTTAAAAATTATCTCCAAGGGAGATACAAAGAAAAAAAAGAATCTTTTAAATCATTTTGAGCTGGTATTCCATCATATGGTTTTATCCACACATGGTATTCAACCATATGGTAAATTTGTGCAATAGGCACTGGGTAGATACTGGACACACATATGAATTAATATCAGAGTGACATTATAGTGTGAAATAAACACATGCTTCACATGTTTAACTGATGATCCATGACACATAAATATGTAAACATGAGACTACTTCTTTCTCTGCTGGCCATTGTGTAAAGATCCAGTTCTTTCTCTCAGGATCTTTTTTTTTCAAGAGAGGAACTTTCCTTCTGTTGGTTTAAAGATCCCTCACTGAGATTTATTGGTTAATGTCAGTGAGTCATCATCACCAGCAGAGACATCCCTGCTTACCAGCTTCTTGGTATTAACCCTTTTTCTAGCACATTGCATACAAAAATGTTTTTGCTTGTTTGTGATATTGCATAGTAGCAAGAGCAAATCCCTTCTAATGACACAGGATGCAGCTGTTTTTCATTTACTTAATTTTAAACCTGCGCCTGAGCTACATCAAATACAACTGAATCCCCTATGTAGAAATTGTTGGAAAAGATTCTATGTACAAAGCATACCTCTTCCCCCCCCCAAAGTGCATATGTGCGAGTGTCATACAAAGTAGTCTTGCTTACCTGAACTGAAGCAGTACTTGTTCGGTTTTACTTTTTAAAATTGACCATTATATGTGGACTTCAGTAGACTTGGAAATAAAGGATGGTGTCATTCATTGCTCAGAAGGCCCTGAGTGACCCAGTTCCAAGTGCAAAGGCCAGCGTTGTGCAAGGTTTACATGTGAGACAAGCCAAATGAAATGAGTAAATGGAAGTATTGAACGAGCCCCTGAAAGATTGTAAAAAAGCAGATCAGATGACCATATTGTGAAATGTCACACTGCAGTTTGGCAGAGGACATGAACAGTGTGATCCTATGGTCCCTTAAACAGAAGCCCATAATCACAGAAAAGACCTTGCTCTGGTCTGAGGTTTCATCCCTGTGGAAAATTCTCTGGCTTTCCCCTTTTAAATTTGCAACAATACAAATAAAGAAAGACCTTCTGGAAATTGGGAGAGGTAGAGAGGGGGCACATAGAGGCATCCGTAGTATCTAAGGCTGACCCAGAGTTCCTTGCCCACACCTTCTGCATGGTGGAACATTTAGATTATCCATGAACTGAAGTGTGCATTTCCCTCCTATTCTGTGCAGCTGGAAGAGAAATATTAATATAAACAAACAAAATTTGGAGGAAGAGCATTGAATGCCACTCCATTATCATGTCTGCCCTGCTGGTAGGAGCCTAGCAGATGTTTGATATGAGAAGCCTCTGCTTTTAGAAGAGATTCAGTTATAAAGTTAGGATTTTTCCTGTTCAGAGCAAAGGAATCCACTGACAGAACGTACACTTGAATTTGTGCTTCTAATTTTTTTTTCTTGGAGGGATCAGGATTAGATCATGTGTATATGAGAAAGTTGCTTTAAATGGTCAGTTTAAAAAATTACACCCAGGAAAGTGACCCTTTTCAGCATGATTCAATATCTCCATCTCATCACACTCTTAGTTTACTAATTTATTCCATGAAAAGAATACTTACATAGTATGTGTCTCTTTTAGGCTTAACTCAAATATTCAACTCAACATAATGCATTGTTTCAATCCTTGATTAGCACTATTTCATACTGGGAAAACACCTATTACTCCAGTGAACATGAGAAGGAGAAATATGTTGAAATATGTTGTTGTTATTCTTGTTTTGACTCATCATAGAATCATTGAATAATGAAATTAGAAGGGGCCTGTGAGGCCATCAAGAGTAACCTCCCATTCAGTGCAGGAATAGAAATCATAATATACTGCCCCCTAAGTGGTAGAATATACCAGATGGGCGGGATATAAATCGAACATATAAAATAAATAAATAAATAATGCTGGAGCACTCTCTGGGCGGCTTTAATGAAATTATGTGAACAACACTTTGCTCCCCAGCAAGCTGGGTACGTACTTATACTGCAGAGTGTGGAAGTTTAATGTACCATTTGGATTTCTGGATTTGGCATAGAAATATATAGTGGATTTATTTCAGGTTAATTTAGGATGAGAAAAGTGATTTGCGAGCATACCAGCTCTTCATTTTATTGACTGTATGCTTGCACTTCCTTTTTCTTTCACTTGTCACTTGTATAGGACAATGCAGTTGGGCTGTTAACTACCTACTGCATATTGCAAGTATTTGAGCCATCTGTAACCATCTGCTGATCACTTGATTTATGGTGTCCTATTTTATTTCTCCCCCCATTACCCTCCCCCCCAGTCTTATCAGATTCCCCTTGGATCAGTACTTCTGGCTCCTGCAAAAACAGATGCTTTGAACTTCAAGAGGCAGAGCCTCCAGGTTGCCGCTGCGACAACTTGTGCAAGAGCTACACCAGTTGTTGTGCTGACTTTGATGAGCTGTGTTTAAAGACAGGTAGGATAGCTGTAACTGCCTGCTTGATATAAATGGCTCCAGATCATTAAGTTAATCATAATCCCTTTCACTGGATCCTTTTTGGTAACAACTGGCAAAATCCAATCAGTGCTTTGCAGAAATAGTGATCAGAGCCCTATATATAATAGATTTATTTGCATGTTCACTAAAGACTCTTAGTGGCAGCTACAATAACCCACCATTCTATGGTCTCAGAACAGTGGCCCATTGGCCATAGGAAGGAGTGGACATCTGCCACTCCAAGATCATTTCGAAAAAAAGCACTAACTTTGGAGGGGGTGAGCCAGTGTTGGATGCTCCCTTCCTAGACACAACCAGTCATCATGGAGGTTTGCATGGTAGCTTGTCCTCCTGAGTTAGAATTCTGACTTCATTAGGGAAGTTTTCTGCGGGGGGGTGGCATTGTATGGGAGAAGGAAAATAAAGATTCATTCCAGGCATAACCTCGTTGTCTCCCGCCACCTCCCCAATGTGAGAGTGGGGTAGTGTAGAGCACTAATGAGATAGATCCCTCCCGTTGCTTTCAGTGGGAGAGAATTTTGACTCAAACTACAAAGACAAAACTCCAGCTACAGGAAAAAGAGTGAAAAATGCTGTGCTGTTTGCAAAACCCTGGCAGGGATTTTGGAAAACTTTGAACATGTGTGATTAGAATATTGTGTCACTATGGATTCTGTCACTTAGGTCTGCAGCCAAAATGTCTTCTCTTTGGATATCATTCTGGGTGTGAGCTACATGAAGAAAAGTGTTCCTGTTTCCCTTGTAGTTTCTGCCTTGTCTTTGCCCTCCATTTCCTTCTTCTGAGACATTTCCACTAGGTTGCTGGGGTGGGGGAGAACTGTCTCAAATTGTGAACATTTGATGCTACTTTCCACTTTATCATAGCAGATCACATTTTTAAAGGTAGGCCTAATCCAAGTACTTGCAAAATTGTTTTTATGCTTAGCTGTTTTCTGAGTCTCACTATGCTGAGGCTTCCCATAGAGACTTCCCCATTCATTAACAGGTTCATTACTGCAAGGAGAAAATTATGCCTCTCACCCTCAGTTTCTTTCCACGAGTGAAAGGCTGCAAGATTCACTTCTCTATTTCAGGGACCCGCAACTCTGTAAGGAAAAATTTGGAAGGTACCCACCAACCTTCCAAGTTTTTTCTCACAGAGCTGAGGGTACCTGAAATAGAGAAGTGAATCTTGCAGCCTTTCACTCGTGGAAAGAAACTGAGGCAAAGCTAAAGGCAAAGGAAGGAATAAGGAATGCATTTTTGTTATAATTCTTCCATTCACTTATGTTCAAATCCTGTGTTGTTTTTCATTCTTATAGTTTCATTCCCTAACACTAAACTCGAGTCTGAATCCATTGTATAGTAGGCTAGTTTAGATACAATACTAAACTGTAATTTAGCATCATAAGAAATGAGCTATAGTGAATTTCAGGTGTCCTCTTTAAGTCTCCCCCCTCCCTTTCACCAGTGCAGTATAACTTAGCCCCTGAGGACAATGCAAAAGTTTTTCTCCTGGCTCAGACTAACTGAAACTTCCTCTGTGATTTGGATAAGATACCAAAACAGAAGTGGAATTTTCAAGTGTCCTGTTGGTCATGCTCAAGGGAGAAGAAAGAGCACACAAACCTGCCACTGGCCCAAAATCATTCTCAAATTCTAAACTGTGGTCTAGCATTATACCCAAATGCAGCCATTACATGTGTACACAAAACATTATTAGAACATTAGTATCTAGTTAAACACCCTGCTTATGGGCAGAGATGGTCAAATATTTATTTCTGAAAGGAATAAAAATCCAAGTGTACATAGTCATTAGTACTTTGTTAGCCATTAATTCAAGTTGTTGTCTGCACCTCTGTTTTATAGACAGGAAGCTGAGACACAAGGATATCCCAGAATCTTCCCAATGAGTGGGGTGAAGCTGGCATTTGAGTAGCCCTTGGGAGATCTTCATTTATAGATTCTATTGGTTCAATAGGGCAGCCTTTAATTGTAGCACTGAAAATGTGACCAAGATGGGCTTTGTTAGTTCCATTGCTAGGGTTTATTTATTTATTTTGGTGATGGCATGACAGTTCAGCACGTAACCAACAAGGGGTTTTTGTTTAGAACTGCCCTGTTTTTAAAAGCATGTAACGTTTTCCTCAGTGACATCATGAAAAAAGGCTAAATAACTGCCATATAATTCTTGCTCTTAAGTTGCATTATGTGTGTGTATTTTGTCTTTATTAAACGGGGATGAGCACCGGCCCCTAGAGTCGAACACGACTGGACAAAAATTGTCAAGGGGAACCTTTACCTTTACCTATTGGTTCAGTAGGGCAGCCTTTAATTGTAGCACTGAAAGTGTGACCAAGATGGGCTTTGTTAGCCCCATTGCTAGGGTTTATTTATTTATTTTGGTGATGGCATGACAGTTCAGCAGGTAACCAACAAGGGGTTTTTGTTTAGAACTGCCCTGTTTTTAAAAGCATGTAACATTTTCCTCAGTGACATCATGAAAAAAGGCTAAATAACTGCCATATAATTCTTGCTCTTAAGTTGCATTATGTGTGTGTATTTTGTCTTTATTTTTTTAAAAAAAAAACCTTGTTTTTTAGAAACCCAAATGTGTGTTTTATGTTTTCACTTTTGTGGCAATGCTAGCTGGTGGATGGGAATGTACAAAAGAGCGCTGTGGAGAGACAAGGAATGAAGATAACGCATGCCACTGTTCTGAAGACTGCTTGTCCAGAGGAGACTGCTGTACGAACTACCAAGTTGTTTGCAAAGGTACACTGAAGATAATACTATCCTTGTGGATGTTTGCAGTTTTGAAAGGGAGATGGCAGTTATCTTATTCAACTGTACTGTAAAGCAGGGACAACTGTGGCCAGCCATATGTTGACCTGCAGCTCCTGTCAGCCCAAGGACTGCTGTTCAAAAACATCTGAAGAGCTATGTGTCATTCATATGTGTCCCTTAAAGAACAAGAAAATGTTTTAAAATAGCCTGGTCATCGATAGCAAAAATTGCCAGATGGCCAGTCCGGCCCTGAATCATATGTGTCCCTTAAAGAACAAGAGAAGGTTTTAAAATAGCCTGGTCATCGATAGCAAGTATTGTGTAGTTGATGAGGGTCAAACTAGATGAGATTTCAGCTTACATTTGGAAATGGAGGTCTTGTAAATAGTAAGACATCTTAACACAGGCTTCTCTCCTTTTAGGCGGTGAACACTGGGTGGATGACGTTTGTGAGGATATTCGGACTCCAGAATGCCCAGCTGGGTAAGCAATATATATTATTTCTCATAGTATATTTATGCCTTTTAGAAATTAGGTTTATAATCCTGATTACTTTTGATTATATGTACATGTTATAGTAGTTTCTAAAGATTGGCTTCTATCAGTTTAGAAACTCTTTTTCATATTCGAGGGCTCAGGTACACTGTCGAAGTGAATCGAGAGCTGGATCAGGGTGTTTGAAATTGATTTAAGGTCATGTGATTTTTATGTCTGTGTGTCCTTTCTCTTGGGGCAACTTTTATTCCGGTATTACTGTGGCCTTTTCTTGAGAGCCTGCATGGAAATAGTGGGGCAGGGGGATGGGGGATGAGCTGACAGGCAAGAAAAGAAGAGTCTCCACTGTCTCCCCAACCCAGATGACCAATTTTTGTAGTGCTCACTTCCATTTTCTGAGCTCAGCTGCACCAACAACACAGCTATGTCAACTGTCTGCCAGTTCCCCTAACAAGGAAATGTTTATAATCTTATCTCTATTCTTCAGCATATCAGGTTTCCACACTGTAGATCTCTCCACCACCACTGCCCTCCTTCTTTTCAAGTTACTGTGCTTCTCCCACTCCCCCCTTTTTTCATTCTCCAGGAGCCTCATGGCAGCTCTGCATTATCAATTAGAAGTGCAGTTAATTAATGCAAATGGTTTCCTTAGTACTTTTAACTGCTGCTGTTCCTGCATTTGGGTTTAGAAAGTTGGGTTTGTTCTAATCCAGTGAAAAGACAGGATCCTTTGATTCTTTAAGAAAAGCATTAAATCTCTGCCCTTCTCACACCCACCCACGATGTAATAATCTCCTCTCTTTTAAAATGTTCCTTGATATGCTGATGGACACTAATGAATGCATGCAGGTTTTCTGTAAATATAACCTTTTAATATTTACTTTAATATTTTTATGTATTTCAAAGTGGCATAGTGCTAGATAATATTTCAGACAGGAAAAAAGTGTTATATTTTGCAGGATACCCTGCAGTCCAAAACCTGTGATCCTTGTATCCAATACTTGAAAAAAAAAACCCACAGACACAATTCACTCCAACACAGGCATCCACATATGCTGAAACGATTCAAACGAAATCATACTTATAAATGAGTTAAAATAAAGAAATGTTGAAAAAAACCTCAATTTCCAATCAAAAAATGCTGTACGTTGGTTGGCCAGATATTTTTAAATCTATTGCAAGCATGCTAAACCCGACACAAAAACAGGAGCATTCGGATGTGCAGCTGAATCCTGAGTTGCTATAAATCCTCATTTATAATTAGCATATAAGCACCACCAGGAGAAACTCAAACCCAGGGCCAACAGAGGCTTAGAGAAAACTGTAAAGGTTTTCACATGTCAGCTAATGAATTGCTTGCTGTCCAAGGAGGCTAACTGAATCTCTCTCAGAAGAGGGTAATGAAACTACCACTGAGGAAGACTTGGCTCAAATATGCAAATAACTTATTTGAATGTGGGACATAAAACTGTTAGATTTTTTATCGTAGGTTTTGCTGCTTTTAGATGAAGTGGTTGAAAGTTAACCACAGAGCAGAGGTATGACGCCTGTAGCCCTCAGATGTTGATAAACAGTAATAGTTCCTTGCCTTTGACCATTTTTGTTCCAGTTTTTGGTAGTCTGAATCTAACAATTTCTGGAGGACCAGGAATTGGACGTTTTGTGCAAAATTGCATAATTTGTACAATTTGCATAATTGTAGAAATTGCCCAAAAGTAGAACACCCATTTTATTTCAGAGTATGAAGCATAGATAGTTTGTCTGTTCCTTGCATAACAATCAGCTAGTCCTTCTGTGCTTGTTTTATCTCTCTGTTTGAACATATGCTTTGCTTTTCAATGGTAAAGGATACTAGAAACATTTTACTTTAATTATAAAAACCTTGAGGGAAAATAAGATATATAAGATATGTATTAGGAAATCCTGACCTCCAACCAAGAGGTGAGCCAAAAACATCTTATTTTCCCTCAAAGTCTCTATAATCAAAGTGAAATTTTTCTTGGACCTTTTAATTTTAATTTCTTGGTTGGAGGTCAGGAGTTCCTAATATATATAGTCAGACCCTCTGAAGATGCCGGCCACAGAGACTGGCAAAACGTTAGGAAGAAAAACCTTAAGAACATGGCCAAAGAGCCCAAAAAACTTACAATAACCAAACATTGTTTTCTGTAATGTGTTTGTGGGCGACTTCACTTCCTCAGTCCACGGAAACTCACATTAAAATATAGTACAGTGGTGCCTCACTTGACGACGATAATCCATTCCGTTCAAATCACTGTTAAGCGAAATCGTCATCAAGCGAATTTAAAAAACACATTGAAATGCATTGAAAACCGTTCAATGCGTTCCAATGGGCGAAATACCTTCTCATTTTGCGAAGATCCTTCATAAGGCGGCCATTTTCCAGTCCCTGTAAAGTGAGGAATCTGTGCTAAAAAGAGCGGGGAGCCATTTTGCACAGCAAGCGGCCATTTTTAGAGCCGCCAATCAGCTACTTTAGAATCATCTAGCGAAAAATTGGTTCCCGAAGCAGGGAACTGATCATTGTCAAACAAATTTTCCCCACAGGAACATCATTTTGCGATCGCAATAGCGATCGCAAAAACTTCATTGTAAAGCGGTTTCGCCATTTAATGAGGTAATCGTTAAGCGAGGCACCACTGTAGTTAGTCTTTAAGGAGCTGCAACACTTTTGTTTTCTTTATTTTTATTTTGTTGTTGTCTGAAATGCTTAGCACAGACTAACACAGCTAACTCTTCTTAAACAATGTTTTGCATCCTTAGACCAAAGGTTCCCCAGATCAGGTGTTCTGGTTGTACAGTATAACTTTGTCTTTCTCTTTTTTTCCAATGGTCCCCAGAATATGCTCCTAGGGTTTCCCAATGTTTTTGGGATTTGGGGGTGGTATTACAGACACTGAATGGGAAAGAGAGAATCAGTTAGACTTGGTGGACACTCTTCCATTCAGGAAGGGTGCCAGTTGGATGTCAGTCGAAGTCTGTGGTGGTGCACATTCCAGGGCAATATGATGGCAAGCATTTGTTTTCGGAAGTAACTTCAACTATGTATTTAATAGGATTCAGTCATAAGTGAGTGTGCATAAGGGTGTAAGCTTAATGCCTCACTAAGCTCCTATGTCTTTGTACTTGTGTCAAGAAAGGCAACAGGCATTTGTGCCACTGGTCAGCTAAGTAAAGTATTCAGAGTGAGAAGTTTATTTTTTTTGGACCACAATTGCCTTAAGAATTCTGGGAGTTGTAGTCCAAAAAAAGAGAAAGTAACCATTCAAAACTCTGGATTAAAGAGGTCCTGAATTCCTTTGATTTCATACTGTCTCAAAAAACTTGAAAGTGCTCGGAGATGGATAGGGGATGAACTATGAAATAAATCTAAGGGTGCTTTCAGACAAAGTGCTCTGAATCAAAAGAGACTGTTCGACTAGTCTGTCTTTACTCTATAATTAGTTTTCTGTGAACGGAAAGATTATGGGAAACTAGTAGGAAAACCTGGGAGGATTGCAACTGGAAAATGATATCTGAACCCCATAGTAAAATCTCATAAATGAGGCATGCAAATTGCATAAGAAAAGCTTCATTTGAAAGTGCCCCAAGAAAGCAACAGTTTGTGTATTTTTGCATTTTTTTAGATCATGTCCTTAAAAGTATTTTAAGAAGAGAAACAATATGCTGTTTCATATAGCCAGTCATGCATTATATTAGTTTAAATTCATATTCCTTCCTTTCTGCAATCTCTTCCACGTTGTTAAAAGTGCTGTGACCCAAGAATAAATGCTTTGGAATTAGTTTTTGGCAAAATCATCAAGGAATCTTTGTCCTTGAGTTAAAGGAGGAAGGGAGGATAAGATGGTGTGGAAATGAAAGTAATTCTGTGGTCTAGTGACTTGTTATAATTGATACCACACTCTTGGAGGCTTTCTTTTAGATGAAAATGAATAAATGTAGCTTCTTTAGAACTCCAACACAAAATGAAACATTTGTATTAGTAACAAAAAGTACGGTAGATTGCAATGCAATCCAAAGTCCAAGTATTTTAACAAAACATTCAGGATCAAGGTAAAGTCTTGAAAGCCAGAAACTTGTTAAAGCGTTTGAATAGACACTTTAAAAATCTTTAACTTCCTCTTAATTCCAATCTAGTTTTACTTGCGATTATTGTCTTAAGCAAAAGAATTGTGCTTTCAAGTGGCAATCCTACACTTGCTTACAGGAGAAAAGAATGTTCTACAAACAGGAGAGGTGCTTCGTTTTGAGAAGAACATGTATGGTCCCTCCCCCCAGCTATTTTAATAACCTCTCTGAGACCCTCTTACCAGAAGCTGTCCAGGAACCTCTGGTCCCCCTCTCTCCATTTTTTGGCCTAATTTGCCATGTTCTTACTGCTGTCTGTACCTTATTAACATGTTTTCCACTCCAGTTTTCTTCGCCCTCCGTTGATAATCTTCTCCGTTGATGGCTTCCGTGCATCATATACCAAGAACGGTAGAAAAGTCATGCCCAACATAGAAAAACTAAGTAAGTGCAAATGACCAGAACAAAAAGAAAATAACAGTCTATTGATCTGTTGATCTATCTAGTTTTTGCTTTCCCAATGGCAAAGGTGAGAAAAGTTCTTGCTTTATCATTAAAAGCACTCAGAGGCTTTTAATGATAAAGACATTCTCTCTTCTAATTATCGATTATCTCTTAAGTTTCTTTTTGCCCTGTGTGGGGAAGGGGCCAAATTTAAAAAAAAAAAACCCTGAAATTCAGTGCTGTTTATTTTCTGTTCTTTTGACATATTGCCTCATTATCTACTTCCTTCTTTTTTCAAAAATGAGTTCCCTTTATTTATTTATAGAATGATGACCCCCGAAAAAGATTCTTACATGCCAAGAGATCGCAAATCTCTGGTATTCATAGGCACATCCGCAGCCTAGTGGGGAATCACAGAAGTCATTTTAGCTTCTACAGGGAAGAGTTGTTCTGTTGTTGTTTCAACTTATATACCACTCAATATTGCTAAAACTCTCTCTGGGCAGTTTGCAACGTAATTGTGCAAACAAAACTTCAACCCCCTGCAGTCTGTAACAGACAATGTCTACATAATTTCTTAACGTAACTGCAGTTTGTATCTAAAAAGTTATACTTTTGCATAACTGCATAATAGGATTTCAGCTATTAAGTTTTGCTTATTTGTTGCGTAGAATATTTCTCCTCTCCCAAGAACTGAAGCTTTTTTTGTCATGGTATAACAAATTTGTAAAATTATTTGTTTTTATTGTAGCAGCTTGTGTCACTGAAAGGAAACAATAGCTGGAATCTTACCGGTGCTTGCATAAGGGTTGTGTAACTTTGGCAGCTAATTGCTGCTAACTGACAAGGTGCCAGCTCACACATCTGTTGTACAATTTTGGTAGTACCTCATTGTTTAACAGCACTTAACCATGACAATCACACAGACGTTTCGCAAACACCAATAAGATTGTGGCTAATATATAGGTGAACATTCAAAAGTGGACTTCTTTTGGATTCTGTCCCTTCTGCCAATGAAAATCGAACTTCCCCTTATCTTGTCCCCACTGCAGCATTAAGTTCTATGGAATTGAAAAACTGTTCCATTTGGTATGTCACTGCTGTAGAGCAGGTTTTTAGAGTGCACTGAATAAAGGGGTGGGCTACAGATACAACTGAATGTCTCTGCCTTTCCCCTGATTCTATTGGCAGAAGCAAAAGAATATACTGCAACATGACTTCAGGATTCTGGCTTCAGTTTATAACAAGTTTGTATGTTTCTTTAACATTTGTCTGTTTCTCAACAGCCACAGTTTAATTTTTATTGTATTTTTAGAAGGTGAATTTTATTTTGTGACTTCAGGCAAAAACTCTAAGTGAAGTAAATAATGAGCTGGTGTATATTTTACATGTTGTCTTTTCACTTTTGGGATTCAGTTTATGCTACATCTGCATTCACATCTTCTTCAGCTTCCTAGAACAGCAGTGTGATGCCATCTCTTCCTTCCTTCCTCATAATGCCTTCCTAATCCATCTTTCCTACGAAGCTTTGGACATACCCCAGAGTCTCATACACCACATTGTTTTAGTTAAAATGCAGTAACTGATATAAATGCATGCTATTTCCTTGTTTGAGGAGAGGAAGAACAGAAAATGTTAGGTAAAAGTGGGGTGAGTAGACTGAAGTAAGACATGAGTGCAAGACTCAAACTATAGCAGTTGTTTCACACTGAGCTGAAGAATGTAATCGCCATGCTGGATCATTCTAAATGGCTGCTAAATCTAGCTGCCCATTTGTACACCTGGTCATCCGTGTATGGGAGCTCAAAAGCAGAACACGAACATAACAACAATTCATGTCTCACTCATTCTCCCCAACAAGTGATATACAGAGGAGTACATTTCTGACAGTGGAACGAATAAATATCCTTGATGGCTCGTAACCTCTAGTAGCTCTTCTTCTCTGAATTTAATATAATAGCACAAAATTAGGCAATAACAATAGTTTTAATTTGAATTCTCAGGACAGGAATTTGTCCTGTTACATTTGCAGGATGTGACATAGACACTTGTTGACACAAAATAAATGATTATACCACTTTTCCCCATTTTTAGGAACTTGTGGAACACATGCTCCGTATATGAGACCTGTATATCCCACAAAAACATTTCCCAACTTGTATACTCTGGCAACTGTAAGTCTTGTTATTGGCTTCATGTCTTTGCTGATTTTAAAAATTATCATTATTATGTAAATGTAAAATAAAGGCTAAGAAAAGGAAACTTCTGAATATGCTATCTCCTGGATTTTTTTGAAACCGGAAAGACAGTGAGGCCAAGTCACTGAGCTTAAAAATTAACCTGCATATAGGTGTTCAATGTGAATGACTACAGTAGGGCCATATGCACCTGAAGAACTGTGGTATATTTGATGTATGTCAACATACAGCTTGGGATACTGTCCTGCTTCCATCAGCCCCCATCAGTATCAGTGAGTTTTCTACATGAAAAGATAATCAAGAATGGAAAGTTTCCAACTAAGAGGTTTACACCACACACAGCCACTGCAGATGGAAAATGCCATTATAGCACTAAACTCTGCCCTCAAAACAAAGTGATAGGGAAAAATAAACCATGGGTTTTGAGAGGGTCAAAAAGAAATGGAAACACATGGAAAGAAAGCAGTACAATGTGAGATAACAGGAATGTTGTCTGGACTTTGAGGGAATTTCCATTATAACTGACACATGGCAGGGAACTTCAAAAAATACAGATTTTCTGTCTGGAAGAGCCTTGGTTTAGTGTAGTTGAACCACGTGAGCCACATAGAATTATGTGCCAGTTTAAAAATATGTCATGAAGGAAGGAGGACATTGAGCGAAATAAAGTGGCCTATTAAATCTTTGACCCTCCAGATTATGATGGACGATGACTCCTTTTTATTTTCTCTGAACATTGGATGTTCTGGTTTGGGCTAATGGCATTTGGAGCCCAGCCACTATTGGATGGTTGTACATTCCTCACTCTTGGCTTAAGGTATCCTAGAGGTAAATGTTGTGGCTGTGGAAAATACATAGATGCAGGTTAAACATCACCTGCACTATATAAGAAAGTCCACTAGTTAGTCAGTACTGATCCTCAGCCTGTCAGCTCTGTATATTGTGGTGGGGGTTGTGTGGAAGAAAGCACTACAGGGCTTCTGCTCTTGGCTAGAACACAATGTGGCTATAGAAGAAGAACCATAAACTACCACTTACAAGACTTGGACTTTGCTAGAGCAGAGATGAAGTATTAACTGCACTATCTCTTCTGCTCATTGCTAATTCTCAAGCGGTTTTCTGAGAGACACATAATCTAAATTGATGGACACCCCTTTAGCTGCTGATGTATGAAGATAGAACAATATGCCTATTTTGCTAAGAGCAGGGAAAGTGCTCATGACGTTGCACATGATTTTCATGAATGTACCATACAGTCATGTAAAATGAAATGTTCTCAGCACAAACTGGAAGGCAAGACAATTTATCTGTTGTTTCCTTTAGTGCCCACTTTCATTATTTGGGCCATTGCTTTCCTTGATGGGTGTAATGTACCAGAAAGATTGATTATACCTTTAAATGCTTAAAATTAAGCAGTTATTGTTACTTTCAGTGGATCAGTGGTTAAATTATAAAGGCGGCAGTGGGGAGGCAAGAGCCTCTACCCATTGTTCTTCAAAAGCTAGAGGGTGATGTGTGGGAAGTGAGGCTGAGCTATATAACATTTCATCCCTTCATTACCCGCTGGAATTTTGAATATAGTACTAGATTAGCTGTAATCAGCAGCATGGTTTAGGAAAGATGTGTTTTGGACTACATTATTTATGTTGGCTTTAATATTTGGTTCAACTTAAGAAAGAAAAGCCTTTTGGTCACTAGAATTTTGAAACAGCAAAGGTTAAATTCATTGAAGCCGTTGCTTTTTATAAAGACGTGCGTAATAATCTGCTTAACTCCTAATATTTCTAGCACTCTTAAGGTTTTCAGATTATCCATAGTTATCATATTAAAGAAGAATGAGATGAAATATATACTAAAAGCTCCACTAATTGTTGTTTGGCTGTTTTTTCCCCATAAAGGGACTCTATCCGGAATCTCATGGAATCATAGGGAATTCAATGTATGATCCTGTGTTTGACGCTGCCTTTAGCCTTCGAGGCCGAGAAAAATTCAACCACAGATGGTGGGGAGGCCAACCTGTAAGTTTAATTTTCGTTTGGAAAAATGTATCTAAATTTGCATGCGTGCTATTATTAAAAATCCAGGCTTTGCCTCCAGTCATGACACAGAGTATTGACATGAGGTGTATATAACTTTTCATCTTGGTTTGAATGGGACATTATTACTCATGAACTTTAAAGCAGCAAAGCCATTCCATTAGAACCTGTGGGAAATGTCTACATGCAGTAGCTTGCAAAACAGCTCTGGGAGGGAGAGAAGCCCATTCTTGCTGGGAGTCTTCTTGTCTTGGGTGTAAAAACCCTCTTGTCCTGGAGTGTAGCACATTATACATGCTGTAGCTTGCAAAACAGCTCAGGGAGGGAGCGAAGCCCATTCTTGCCGGGAGCCCTCTTGTCCTGGGTGTAAACCAAGGGTCTCAAACTCAATTTACATGGGGGCCACTGGAGGCAGAGTCTGGGTGAGGCTGGGCCACATTAGATTTTCCGCCAAGCGGAGCAAGAGCCCGAGGAAGCCTCCCATGAGTTTCCGTAGCCCAGCTGGGGCTCCGAGGAGGAGGAGGAGGGGCATGCGAGCCCTCGTTGCCGGCCACGACTTCCTCCGGCTCCTTCTTCACTACCATCACCACCAGCACCAGAAGCAGGACGAAGAAGTGGAGAAGGGAGGTAGCGCCGGCGACCGCCTAGCGGGGGGGGGAGGGCACAACATAATTTTTTTTAAACCCTCACAGAATTTGCCTTGCCAAAGGAGAAAAGCCCCCACCAGTATCGTGCGGTGGCAGCTCGGGGAAAAGGGCTGGCAGCATGCCTCGCTCGCCGTCTCTCCCCCAAGACAGCGCATCTTGCACTCTCCATCTGGAACTGCAGCCTGCCAGCCGGCAGAGAGGTGGGCAGGCTGGCAGGCTGCAGTTCTGGATGGAGG